AGCGGAGCCCGGGCGCCGGGCCGGGCCTGGCCCGCTGCGTGGCCCCGGCCCACAGCCCCGTCTCCCCGCCCGCCTTAGGCATCGAGGAGCTGTGTCAGAAGCGAGATGAGCTGTGCCGGCAGATCCAGCAGGAGGAGGACGAGAAGCAGCGGTTGCAGAACGAGGTGAGGCAGCTGACGGAGAAGCTGGCCCGCGTCAACGAGAACCTGGCGCGCAAGATCGCCTCCCGCAACGAGTTTGATCGGACCATCGAGGAGACCGAGGCCGCCTACCTCAAGGTGAGGCTCCCAGGACTGGGAAGCGCTCAGGCCCGAGCCAAAACCGCCACGCTACCGGCGGGCCGGTCTCCGCGGGGCCCGGTGTGTCCCCGGCGCTCCTCTGTTGCGGTTTATTCTGCCAGGCCCGCCCAGCCTGGTGTGGGACAGATGCGGGGAGGGGATGCGGGGCGGGGGAGGGCTGTATGAGAAACTCAGGGCTCCGGGTAGGTGGAGGTGTTGCTTCCAATGAGAGGGACAGTGGCACCCCTCTCGCTTGTGACCCCAGATCTTGGAGAGTTCTCAGACGCTGCTCAGTGTCCTCAAGAGAGAAGCTGGGAATCTGACCAAGGCCACAGCCTCTGATCAGAAGAGCAGTGGAGGCAAGGACAGCTGACAAGGCCGAGCAGACTGGGCCAGTCTCTGCTGTGTCCCAGATATGCCCCCCCCCCATATCTGTCTTAAAACATTGTGCTTTGTGGCAGATACCTTCTCCCGTCTTAGGTGCCGGGAGGGGCAGCTGCCTTGAGTGACAAGGTGGGGGGGGGTGTTTATGACCTCTGGACTCACAAGAGCCACGAGGACCGTGTTTTCCATGTCATCTCCCCCAGGGACCTTGGGAGAGGCCCTGGATCAGGCACATCCTGGCTCCAGACTTGTCGCTGTGGGAGTCCCTCTTTGTCCCCTCTTAGCCAATAGGCACCGAGGCCAGGCAGGTGGGGAGAGTGCCTCCTTAACCCAGGACCCAAACCTCAGGGCCCACCCCGTGGTCAGTTGTCAATAAACTTTTTTTTGCACATTTCTGTGGCAATTTTTTTTTTGGGGGGGGGGGTCTGGTTGTGGGGCCTGAACTCTGGGCCTGGGCGCTGACCCTCAGCTCTTCAGCTCAAGGCTAGCGCTCTACCACTTGAGCCACAGCGCCACTTCCGGCTTTTTTCTTTTTGCTTATGTGGTGCTGAGGAATCGAACCCAGGGCCTCATGCATGCAAGGCAAGCGCTCTACCACTGAGCCACCTTCCTAGCTGTGGTAATCTCTTGACTTCTCTGGAGTATGGGCACCAGACACTGGCAGAGCCGTAGCTAGGCTGTCCAGCTGCCATGGCTCCTTGAGGAGGGAGACAGGACCTGCAATGACTTTCCTTGTGCTTAGTCCCTGTCAGAACAGAGCAAGGATTTCCACTTAACACAGGCTATCCCCAACCTCATCTGTCCTAGCAAGGCTGTTGGTCTCCCCCAATTCCAGCATATAGCCCACCTGCTTGAGGGGGCTGTGATACACCCTGGTGCCAATACTTGGGGTGGTTGGAGAGATGTCTGCCCTGGACTTGGGCCCTCTCAATGGCTGGAAGGGGCTTTGTATCCCATACCCGTTCCTCTGTACCACATTGTCCAGTCTGATGAACCACTGTTAATGCAGAGTTGCCTGATGCAACTCTGCCCTCAACCACACACAAGTTATTGCCCAGGTGCTGCTTGGCAGAACCAGAGAACAGCCCATCCTGTCCTAGAGAACCACACCAAAACCGCTCTTTTCCTGATCCTGGTCATGCAGTTTCTTCTTGAATTCTCCAGGAGAGGATACCTGTGTTCAGTGCCTGGGAAGGATTTGCCTAGTGCTGTAGATGACCCTAGCTCTGTACTGTAGTTGCCCAGGCCCACACACCCATCATTATTCCCAAGTGGATAGCCCTGTCTACTGCCTGATCCTTTCAGTAAGACTTACAGGTCAGCAGGTTCTTCTGTGCCTAGTGAGAAAGAATCACAACGCTCTGTCCAGCCTTGCCCATGCAATACACATTCTGCCCTGCTCTTGGTCCCCTTCAGGCTCCTGGTCTCTCAGTAATGCCACTTAAGACTTGATAACAGCAACACTCATCCATCTGGGATTTACCTCTGTAGGTCACCAAGTTCCAGATGTGATGTACTGCATTCAGCAGGCCTAGCTCCCATCTCCCAGTGACAGCTTGGGAAGGTGGGAGAAAGCCTGGACCAGCAGGACCTCAAGGTGCAAGGACATCAAATGGGCCACCTCACATCTCCTGGTAGAGGGCCCCCAGGCTGACCCCCAGTGTCCCCACTGTGGTCCACACATGGGAGGGAGCAGCAGCCTTATCCAATGCGGTTTATTGGATCCAACATCAGAGGCAAGAAACAAACCTGCCATTTATCACAAAGGGTAGACTAAATCCATCAGGGTGGGATTAGAGTCCTGCAGACAGCACCTTGCCCCAGAAACACCTGTGACGACAGGAGGCTGGGAGGCAACCTTGGTCTGGGGCAAGTCTGCACAGGCCCTCACCTAGTCACAGACAGGCCACTGGATGGACTTCAGCCCTCCCCACTTTTCCTTGGAGATCCTGAATGGGTCAGACAGACCTAGCCAACAGCAGGAGTAAACACAGGAAGAAATGTGGAGCACAGCCAGGATGAAGGTACAGAACGGGGGGGGGGGGGGGGGGCGCAGGACTCCTCGGCTCCCAGCCACCCCCCTCAGCTATGACTTGGCAGTCCTGGCAGCGCTGGGGTCAGAAATAGAGGGCTGGCTCACTGCGGAAGTCCGAGAGGTCGTTCTGACTGGCAGGTGTGAGCTGAAAAAAAGGAGAGATGTAAGCAGTGGGGCCTGCCCAGGTACTACTTCCCCTTCCCCACAGCCCTCAGAGCTGAGGGGGTCCCCCCTCCCGCCCTGGCTCACCATGACTTCTTTCAATGGAGGCTCCATCTCACTGGGAACCTGCACCACGGTCTGCTCCTGCCATCTGCTGAAGGCCATGGAGTGCTTTGGAGTGTAGCAGGACAGGCCTGTGGGCCAAGCAGACCAGGCACGGGCACATGGACGTGCAGCCCCGTCTCCACCCCTCCCAGGCTGTCCATACGAGCAGATGGGCATTCACCTGAGCTGCCATCTGGGAGCCGGGGGCTCTCAGGCCCCACACTGCTCACAAAGGTGGCTCGGGGTAGGAAGAGAGAAAAGGGCTTCTCTGAGCCAGGTTCCTCTTCATCTTCTTCCTCCTCCACTTCTTCCTCCTCCTCTGCCTCTTCCTCCTGTACCAGGGAGCTCTCGGAAGGGTACTCAAATGTTGTCTGCAGGCTCTTGTCATTGAAGGAGATTTTCATCTGAGAGCAAGAGTTGTCATCAGGGCCCTACCACACAGCTAGGCATGGGCTGAACAGCATTGTCACCACAGAGACTCATAGCAGAGGAAGAAGTCCTCCAACCTGGAGCTGCACAACCTACCCAGCCCCCACCCTCATCAGTGGCAGGTCCTAAAGCCATGTTCCTTGGCTTCCTGGCACCACACTTCCTGGCTGGGAAGGTGGCTCAGTGGTAGAGTGCTTGTCTTGCATGCCTGAGGCCCTGGGTTCGATTCCTTAGCACCACATAAGCAAAAAACAAAAAGCTGGAAGTAGTGCTGTGTCTCAAGTGGTAGAGTGCTAGCCTTGAGCTGAAGAGCTGGGCTGGGAAGGTGGCTCAGTGGTAGAGTGCTTGCCTTGCATGCATGAGGCCCTGGGTTTGATTCCTCAGCACCACATAAGCAAAAAGAAAAAAAGCCGGAAGTGGCACTGTGGCTCAAGTGGTAGAGCGCTAGCCTTGAGCTGAAGAGCTGAGGGACAGCGCCAAGGCCCAGAGTTCAGGACCCACGACTGGACCCCCCACCCAAAAAAAAAAAGAGCTGAAGAGCTGAGGGACAGCACCCAGGCCCAGAGTTCAAGCCCCACAACCGGACTCAAAAAACAAAACAAACAAAAGACAGGCAGTAGAAAGGCAGCACCAGGAGCCATAGCTCATTTAACAGACTGGATGAGAAGTTCCACAAAGCCTGAAGTACACTGACCCCAATGCCCTGCCTGCTGCCTGCCCCACAAGCTTTACTAGGTTTTTTTGGTTTTGTTTCGTTTTGTCTTTTGGAGGGGTTGGTCATGGGGCTTGAACTCAGGGCCTGGGCGCTGTCCCTGGCCTCTTTTGCTCAAGGCTAGTGTTCTACCAGTTGAGCTACAGCACCACTCCAAGTCTTCTGGTGGTTTATTGGAGTCTCTCAGACTTTCCTGCCCAGGCTGGCTTTGAACCACGATCCTCAGATCTCAGCCTCTTGAGTAGCTAGGATGACAGGCATGAGCCACTGGCACCCAGCGAAGCTCTAGAATTTTATGTTCAAACAAATTCTCCCCTTTTCTAGTATCCTGGGCTGCTGGCTCCAAAGGGTAGCAAGGCAGGCAGGAGCAGAGGGCTGTAAGCATTCTCGGGATCTCCCAGTCAGCCACTAGCGCTGGGGCAAGGAACCCTGTGGCCAGGCCTTGCCAGGCGGAGACTAGCTCCCACAACTGAGTGGCTCTCCCAGGCCTGCTCTCCCCAGCCTATTCTGGGCCTGGCAGGTCAGTAATGAATATGAGCAGCCACTAGCCTGCAGCAGATGGAAGCAGTCCTGCTGGGGCTGCTGTCGAAATATTAAACTCTTGGGCACAGGACACCAGCAAGCCAGCTCAAGTTCCCCCTTCTCCCCTGGAAGGAGCCAGCGGCAGGAGCAGCCCCAGACAGTTCCAGGGCAGCCTCGGCCTCTAGGACAGGTGGGGACCTGTCAGGAAGGCTGGGCTTGCCCTGAGGCAGCATGGAGAGCGTGGTATGTTCGCAGGATACCCACAAGGGCCCAGCAGGAGCAAAAGCCTCTACAGTGAGCCAGCACCCAGGAATGAACACACACTCTCCTGTCTCTTACTCTCTCCATCAAGGGCCAGAATGTGGGGAAAGGGACGCTGAGCCTGAGCTAGCTTCCCTGCCTCAGTGCTCACACACAGAGCTACAGCTACTTGGCCACTGCTCCCTTCCCTCCACTACCCCAAACACTCTAGACGTCTGCACAGATGAGTGGTCTGGGAGATGAGCAGGCAGGTCAGACAAATAAAGTTGCAAAATATCCGCTCCTGTCATGTGAAAGCGTGCCTCCCTTAGCCTGCCCTCACTGCAGGCCCTGCCGACGCTCCAGTTGTGGTCCTGTGAGACACAGTAAGGGGCAGCCACCTGAAGCCACAGGCTCCCCCACCCACTGCCAGCCAGCTTGGGCATGGTGTCCTTGGCCCTCCCAGACAGATACCCCAGGCACAGCCCAGACAGATACCCCAGGCACAGCCCAAGGCACATAGGACTGTCAAGCTGGGTTTCCACCCCAAAGTGAACAGGGTTCCCGAGTGGCCCCGGGGTCCATGATGCCCTCCAGGCCCATCCCCCATGGCTGGGAACGCACCAAGACCAGCTGCCAGGGCCTGGCCGGATTAGCATGCCCTCATTAGTCCGCATGACCAACTCCAAGCAGGGAGGCTGGGCACACGTGGGCACTGAGGCTGGCACAGCCTGGCCAGGCTGGGAGCATGGGGGTGCTCACAGGCCTCCTGCCCCAGCCAGGGCCCAGGCCTCCAGCCTGCTTTGTCTCCTGGCTGGGTCAGTGCCGTGCGAATCTCACAGGTCTCCCTCCCACTTAAAGAGTACAGGCCGGCAGGTCACAGGACACCTCGTGACTCAGGTGGCCAGAGCTGGGGCACACTCTGCAGACTGGCCGACAGAATGGATGTGGAGAGTGGCCCAGGTCTGGCATGGAAATGTCCGTTCGCCAGTGGCTGAGGGACCTGGCCCAACCCACCCCACACGGCAGGCGAGGGTGAAGCCTCTGGTCCCACAGGGCCCTTTTGTTCTCCCTAACTAGCCCTGCCCATGCACACCCAGCTTGGGTTACTGGTGGGTATCCACCCTAGATTCAGGGCTGAGAAGCTGGGCTCAACCTGCCTGGCTAGAGGAGTATGTTCAGCCTGGCCCTGCCCCCACTCTCCTATCCACACGGGCTGCTGCCCATCCCCCAGCGGTCCAGTAGGAGCACACTAGACCAGGGTTGCACAGCTGGAAGTCCACAGCCATCAGGAGACCCAAGGCAGCCCCTGTGCCAGAGGAGAAGCTGTCTGGCGCAGGCTCCAGAAAAGAACAATACACAAGGGACACCCTCCCTGAAGAGCTGGGGGAAGGAGGAGGAGAGGAAAAAGAAAAGGAGAGGAGACTCTCCTATGGGGAAGGGAGGCAGGGAGAGTGTCAGCCACCTGTGAGGGTCCAGACGGGTGGGAGGGAGGTCACTGCAAGAGCAGATGGGCATCACACAGCCACAGCCAAGCCTCACAAGTCAGGGTGGAGGTGACACTGGAGGGGAGAGCGGAGGCCTGGGCATTATGACTGAACTCGAGGACACTGACGTGCTTGGGTGAGGCACAGACCAGGAAGTAGAGAGAAAAAGGAGCAGACAGACAGACAGGAGCCAGGACAGGTGTTTCTCCATAAAGAAGGGAGGCTGCCAGCGCTGAGTGCTGAGGGAGGGGAGGAGGCCAGTGTGAGAAGGTTAAAGGACACCACCATCTGCCAGGAAACCGGGGTGGGGTGGGGCAGGGCTGGAACATGCAGCGGGAGGGACAGATCACCTACAGGAGCATGTTTCTGGGGCCCTGGCCAGCGCTGAGGACACCCTCGCCGTCCAGACAGTAAGGTGGGCCCTAAGTTTGGATGAGGGCATGACCCCATCTGAGATGCTGTCAGAACAGACTGTCCCACCCCACCAGCTGCCAGACGCCGCAGAAGAGATGCTCCTCACCTGCACCCCGGGAAAGCCACGGCCAGGGGTCACCAGGCTGGGGATCAAGCAAGCAGTCTACCTCTGTGTTCCCTGGCTCTGTATCCCACTCCCCTACCCCTCAGGAGGAAGACCAACACAGGTTCAAGCACAGCCTTTGGTTCCAAGGTGAGGAATAGCCACTTGGAGCACCTTGGGTCCCTTCTCCCTGATGGAGTGCCCGGTTCCAGGGCTGCAGGAAGGAGGGACGTCAGGGAAAGGGTGACGTGCGTGCAGTCCTGCAGTTCTGAAAAGCCCAAGCAGCCTCTCACTGTCCCACCCCTCAGGCGCTGGCTCTTGCCAGGCAAGGCAGCTGGTACACATGCAGAAAGGACGTCACAACGCGCACACGGTGCTGCTACAAGGAGGATCCTGCCTAGACCACCTGGCCATAACAGGCTCTGCCCATCTGGCCCCCAACTTGCTCAAGCTGGCATAGAGCCCACAGCCAGGAAAAGGCTGATGGCCAGCGCTTGCTGCTCCGTCTCCCAGCTGCCTCCCGTGACCTCTTCAGCTCCAGATCCCCCTGACTCCAGGCCCAAGAGGGACCAGCCAGGCTCTCAGCAGCAGCCTTGGAGGGTAGAAACAGCCAGGAAGAAGCCAGGCTCATGGTGAAAGAGACCTGAGAACAAGGACTCTAGAACCAGGAACTTTAACTCAGCTCCTGTCCCACAAGCCTCCCTCACCTCAACGTCCTGCCTCAGCTACATGAAGGACGCTATCCTAACTCACCTACACCAGAGACATTACCGTGACATCACTTCTAGGACAAGCATAGAAAGGGGTCACCTCAGAGCTGTCAAGATCAAACTCAAAAGGCAGGGGAAGGAGAGGACAAGAGGGTAGGACTCGGGGCTGGGAAGGTGGCTCAGTGGTAGAGTGCTTGCCTTGCATGCATGAGGCCCTGGGTTCGATTCCTCAGCACCACATAAGCAAAAAGAAAAAAGCCGGAAGTGGCGCTGTGGCTCAAGTGGTAGAGTGCTAGCCTTGAGCTGAAGAGCTGAGGGACAGCGCCCAGGCCCAGAGTTCAGGCCCCACAACCGGACCCAAAAAAAAAAAAGAGGGTAGGACTCGGAGTAGAGAGCATGGTGGCAGAGGGAGCCATGACCAACAGGAGGTGCCCCCCCCCCCGGCCGTAGTGAAATCACAGCAATGGCTGAAGTGGCAGATGGGGTCAGCAGGAGGGCTGCTGACCTGAACCTAGAAGAGGAGATGGGGCAGGAAGGAGAGGAATCTCCATGGGCTATGCTTGTTTAATTTGCTTAGCAGTATGAGAACTTAGTATGGGGAAGCAGAGGAAGGGAGGGAAGAAGAGAGGGAGGTCCAGAGAAAGAGGGGGGAAGAGGGGGAGAGAAGGAAAGAGACACACACAAAACAAAGAAGATGACACTGCTCGTTACAGGGAGCTCCAAGGCACAATCACCACTCTGTGCCCAGGGGAGCTGACACCTGCTGGACTCTGGAATGGACCCCCAGCCACCACCTCAGTACCAGAGAAAGGTGCACCTGCCTTGTACCAGCTGACAGGGAGTCACGCAGGGCTGGCCTTGGAATTTGCCCCAGGGGACAAACTGAAACCCTGGAATAACCAGGAAGAATCTGAAAAACTCTTTCCTTGTACCCAGAGGATTCCAAGCTACTGACTAGAGCCGACCTGGCAGTAAGGTGCGACCTGGCCAGCCAGGTGCAAGCCTCCAGAAGGCTGTGCTTGGGTCTCTCTGCCTGCCTGTCCTCCTGAGCAGCCCATGCTTGCACGAATCCAGGGGCCAACAAGCTCCAGGCCTGTGCCTTCAGGAGCTCACAGGTTGTGTTCCTTTGGCTGGTCTCCGGGTAAGGACCCAGTGGCATGGATATCACTGCTTTCTACGGCCCCCTCCTTTAGGAGGTTTTTACCTGCTTGGCCAGCCCTCCCCTCCAGCTGTGCCCTGGTCCGTCAGGGCTCCACAGCTCCTGGTCTAGTTCTTCTCTAGGAAGCCTGCCTACTAGCCCAGGTGTCCCAAGCATAGAAGAAAACATGGTGTCTGTAGCTGCACCCCGCCCCCACTGCCATCTCCCCACTGACCTTCTTCCTTGAGGAACCAGCCTTGGTGAGGCAGGACTTCTGCAAGGCCAGGTAGCCACCGATCACCTCAATCTCGTGCACCGTAGGGTAGCGCTTCTTTAGGGTGCTCTCCAGAGCAGCATGGGATCCCAAGAGGCCAGCAGCCTCCTCCTCCTCAGCTTCCCTTGGCTGGGACTCCCCACTGGCCTGGCTGAATCGTGGTTCTTGACAGGCCCCTGGCTTCCTCTTGGGCACCACTGTGAACGTGTTGTTGCCTCGGTGCTGGAGTTCCAATGGGTGCCCAGGCCTGGTGGGGTGCAGGTGGTACTGCAGAGTTACACCAACCCCTGAGCAGGGCAGTTTGGCTTCTTGAGGGGATGCTTCTTCTTCGGAGTCCACCTCATCAATGAATGTGACCGGCAGTCCTGGCCGCCCAGGTTCCCGGCTGTCCTTGGCCAAGCCCTCAGAGGGCTGCGTTTCAGCGGTGGCCGGTAGGAAGAGGGGAGGGGAGGATGGCCTCTGACTTTCGGCAGCCTGATCTGTGAGGGTGGGAGCCGGCCATGGCCCCAGGACCACCGAGAGGCCCCTCTCAGGGTCTGGCGCCCCATCCCCTCCGGACGCCAGCTGGCCTCCGAGCTTCTGGCGCTGAGAGGCCCGGCCCACCTCTCCCTTTGGCAGCTCGGCGGACTGCCTGCCCCCGGGGGGAGGGTGCCCGGAGGCCTTGCGCTTGGGGATGAACAGGAAGGAGTTCCGGGAGTTCGCGCGGAGGCTGGCCAGGGCCCGGGCCTGGAGGTCCCCTGGCGGGATGGTCTCCAAGTCCGGCTTGGGGGCCGGCCTGATCTCGAAGGCGTCGTTGGCGCTGGTGGCGGCGGAGACCCCCCGGCGCTGGCTGGGAGTGGCACTGACGGGGCTGGACGCCGGGACGGCGGGGGACGCGACTGGAGTGGCACTCGGGGTCCCGGGGCTGGGGGGCGGAGGGAGGCCGGGCTCCCCCGACACCGCCTTTGGCTTCCACTCGCCGGGCGCGGGGTTGGCAGGACCGGCGTGGGGCTCGG